ACGCATCGCCGATGCATCGCCGACGCATCGCCGATGTATCGGCGATGCAGCGCGCTCCTCCAACCACGTCTGCAGTGCTCCGACCCCATCTAGGAGGCCTCTAGAGCAGCGGCGGGGGCAGGGCTCGTCGAAGACGTGGCGAGACCCCCGAGCCCTGCTCCCGCCCCCCGCCGATTCCGGAGAATCACTCGTTGGCGGGGGGTGGGGTTCGGGCGTCGTCACCCAGCCCTGCCCGCCGCCGCCCGGCCCCGGCCGCCCCGCCGTCCTGCGACGCCGCCGCCGTCGCCAGACGCAGCATGCCCCGGATTTCGAACGTCTCGAGGAGCAACTCGAGGCGGAAGGCTTTTCGCTATTCTCGGCCCCCAGGGGCGCTCACCGGGCCTCGGGGCTGTCAAGGAACGGGTCGGGATGAAAAACCAGCCCCAGGGAGAGGGTCGGGACTTCGGGGAGCCCGCGTTGAACAAATCAGGACGTCGCATGTCTGGACTCCAACACAGCAGCAACACGTCCTGCGACACAGCCTCCGTCTCCAAAACAGCAGCAGCATTCGTAGAAGGAAAAACATCATAAGGGTAACCTTTCGACGCTCCGCGCGGATTTCCTGGATCGGCACCTGGGCCCCCCTGGCGGCGCCTCTGGCGCCGCCCCTGGCGCGCTCGGCGCGCCAGGGAAGGGGTTCAGCGCAGATCCAAGAAGTTTGCGCGGAGCTCCAAAAGGTTGTGTGTGTGTGTATGTTTTTCCGAACCCTCCTGTGTTGGTTTCTCGTCTTGAATAGAGCACTGGTCGAGTCTCCTCATTCTTCCTCCCCCTTCTGCCTCCTGCCGCCTACTTCCTGCCTCCTGTCTCCTCTTCCTTCTCTTCCTCCTTCCTTTTCTCCTTCGTCCCGCTCCCGCCGCCGGGCCACTTTCGTGCGCGGCTCTCCCTGTCGCCTCTTTCGTGGGCTCCTGGGAGGTCCAGCGGAGTCGGTAGTCACGCACACCGTGTCGAGGTTTGGCGGCTCGCTGCGTGGCTGCGAATTGCGCAACTGTCGCCATCTTCGTGGTTCTCGGAGGTCCAGCGGGGTAGAGTGTACGCGGACCCAGTTGGAACCTGGCGGCTCCCTGCGTGGCTGCGAACAGCGGAGTGGAGCGGTACGCAGATTCAGTTGGGACCTCGCGGCTCCCTCAGGGGCCTGCGAATTGCGCAATTGGCGCCACTTTCGTGGGCTCCTGGGAGGCCGTGGTACGCAGACCCAGTTGGGACCTCGCGGCTTCCTGCGTGGCTGCGAATTGCGCAATTGGCGCCACTTCCTTGGGTTCCTGGGAGGTCGCGCTGAGTGGAGTGGTACGCAGACCCAATCGGGACCGCGCGGCTCCCTTGGGGGTCTGCGAATCGCGCAAGCGTCGCCACTTTCGTGGGCTCCTGGGAGGTCCAGCGGAGTGGAGTGGTACGCAGATTCAGTTGGGACCGCGCGGCTCCCTAGGGGGCTGCGAATCGCGCAAGTATCGCCACTTTGTGCTCCTGGGAGGTCCAGCGGAGTGGAGTGGAACGCAGATGCAGTTTGGACCTTGCGGCGCTGCGAATTGCGCAACTGTCGCCATTCTCGTGGGCTCCTGGGAGGTCCAGCGGAGTCGAATGGTACGCGGACCCAGTTGGAACTTGGCGGCTCCCTGCGTGGCTGCGAACAGCGGAGTGGAGTGGCACGCAGATTCAGTTGGAACCTCGCGGCTCCTTGGGTGGCTGCGAATTGCGCAAGCTTGGCCACTTTCGTGGGTTCCCGGGAGGTCGCGCGGAGTGGAGTTGTACGGGGATCCACTTGGGACCTCGCGGCGGTGTCCCGTCACGCAGCGCTCGGCGCTGTCGCATCGCAGCTCGCAGGGAGCGGCTGGGCCACGCAGCGCATCGTGCTGTTTTTGTCCGCGTGACCTCCGATCCTCAGCTGCCCCTGGCCCGCCAACCAACCCGCGCGCTTGCTTCGCTCAGGGCGACGCGCCGTTCTGCTAGAGAGCAAGCGCATGGCGTTGTTCTTTCCCGCGTATGTAGCGCTCGGCGTTGCTGCTGTTGCTGAACACGTATGTCCCTCCTTCACGCCCTCTCTATGCTTCTGTATCCGCTTCTATCTTGCTTTGTGCCCGCGCGCTTTTTTGTGTCCTTCTGGGAGCTCATGTGCACTGTTGGTCCTTCAACCTGCTTGTTTACAGTGAGCGGTCCCATAGTATACGTAGCACCCCGCAGTTGCGGATACGTGTGAGGGGGCGGCGGGGACGTCGGCAGTCTGCGAGGCTTTGAAGAAGCCCGCCGCAGGCGCAACATTTTTTAAGCTATACAACGAGCCCGCCGCAGGCGCCGATCTTTCCGGTTAAAACAATGTAGGTGGGTCGCGGGTTGGGTCGCAGGTGGGTCGCGGGTGGGTCGACGGTGGGTCGCGGGTAGATCGCGGGCCAGGTCGCGGGTGGGTCGCGGGTGGGTCGAGGGTGGGTCGCGGGTGGGTCGCGGGTGGGTCGCGAGCGGGTCGCGGGGTGGATCGCGGGTGGGTCGCGGTTGGGTCGCGGGGTGGGTCGTGGGTGGGTCGCGAGGTGGGTCGCGGGTGGGTCGCGGGCCGGGTCGCGGGGGGGACGACGACCAACAACAACAATAACAACAACAACAGCAACGCCAAGCATAATCCTCACCACGGGTCCGCACTTCAGCCACGCACCCAGGGACAATGAATGACCGTTCAGCCCCCTCACTCTGACACGGAACGTCACCGTGTAGTGCTGCACTTCTAAACGTACTGCGCAGCGTCCGTCTCCAACGCAACGCCCATTCTCTAGGCTTCCCCTCTTGGGTCCAGTTTGATGGGGTCGGAGGGTCGCGCTGCATCTCCGATGCATCGGCGATGTGGCTCGATTTGGAACCCGATCTGGTCCACGCCGACGGCGCCGATGCATCATCGACGATGCCAATGCGTCCCGGCCCCGCTCGCCGCCCGCCACCCGCCGCCCGCGTGTTCGCTTCTGCAACACAACGCCCATGTGCCCAACGCCCTCGGCAAGGCGACCCTCCGGCGAAGCAAACACCTGGCGGAGCGACCTTTCGGCGAAGCGAACCCAGGGAAGCGAGCCCCCGGAGAAGCGAACCCTGGCGAAGCGAACGGGGCGAAACGGACACCTGCTAAGCGAAACCTGGTGTGAACGGAACCCCCAGCGAAGGGAGCCCCTGGCGAAGTGAACCCGGGCGAAGCGAACTCCTGGCGAAACAAACACCTCGAGAAGCAAAGCGGGCGATGCGGAACAAGTGAAACCCTGACGAAGGGGGCTCGTTCCGATAGGGGATGAGGACGATGCGGGTGTTGATGTTGAAAGCGTTGATGATGCCGATAGTATTGACGATGGTCGTGATGGTGATGGCGATGGTGACAGGGACGATGATGACAATGATAATAATAGAATTGTTTATGATGATTCTCATGAGTATCAGGATGAGGATGCTGATGCTGATGTTGCTGTCGCTGATGCTGGCGATAACGATGACGATGATGATAACGATGACGATGACGATCATGATGATGCTGATGATAATGACGACGATTCTGATGATGATGCTGATGCTGATGATGACAATGATGACGATGATGATGATGATGATGATGATGATGATGATGATGATGATGATGATGATGATGATGATGATGATGATGATGATGATGATGCTGATGATGATGATGATGATGATGATGATGATGATGATGATGATGATGATGATGCCGATGATTATGATGATGGTGGTGATGATGATGGTGGTGATGATGACTATGATGATGATGAACATTCAGATGCTGCTGCTGATGATGATGGTTATGATGATGATGCTGATGATGATGCTGATGCTGATGCTGATGCTTGTGCTACTGATGCTGGTGAGATGGTGGTGGTGGTGCTGGTGCTGGTGTTCGAGGAGGAAAAGTGGGAGGAGGAGGACGAGGAGGAGGAAGAGGAGGAGGAGGAGGAGGAGGAGGAGGAGGAGGAGGAGAGGAGGAGGAGGAGGAGGAGGCGAGCAGGAGCAGGAGCAGGAGGAGGAGGAGGAGGAGGAGGAGGAGGAGGAGGAGGATTTCTACCCTTTCAGGGCATGGGTAAGCTGGTTGGGGCGCTCGGCGCCAGGAACAGCCCCGCCAAGCATAACCCTTGGGACGAGGTCCTCAACAAGCAGGGGTGCCGCGAGCTCAGAGCTTACCCGCTTCCACCACCCATGGGCGGGCAGCATGCTAATTGCCTCGGAGGGGCAGGAGTGATCAGGAGGATGAGGGGGAGCAGGAGGGGGAAGAGGAGGAGCAGAAGGATGAGGAGGCGGGAGAGGAGGAGGAGGATGATGATGATGAGGAGGAGGAAGAAGAAGAAGAAGACGAAGATGAGGGGTGGAAAGCCCACCTTGCACGAGTAGCGTGAGAATTTCTTGCCCCATCCGCTGCCTCCTGGTGACAGATGGAGCAGCGGAGCTCGTTTGCTTGGTGATGGCAGACGCCGTCACGAACGCTTTCGGCTTCGAACGCGACGGCGTCTGCGCGTGCAGTTGATCCCAGCGGCAAAGCATGGGCTCGCCGATCCTCGGGCTGGTCAGGACGGTCTCCGCCTCAGCCGCAGTATGGCGCTCGCTCTACCGACGCGGTCGACGACTACGACGAGGGCGACGACGAGGCGGACGAGCCCAACAACGAGGACGAGGACCCCCAGGGCGACGCGCAGGACATCGTGCGCCACGAGCTCGAAGCGTCCAGTACCGAGCTGCAGGCGCCCGGCGTGGACGCCATCGAGCTGTTCGGCAACGGCGACGTTGCGCGCGAGGGGGCCGCCGCGGCGGAGTTAGCCGCCATCGCGCCGCCCGCGAGGCCATCCAGGGCGAGGGCGGCGGCCGTGGCAGACGGAGGCCTGCCCCGGAGCCCCGAGCAGCACCAAAGCGGGGACTGCAAGGCCGAGTCGACCAGCGCAAGAAGTTCTCCATCTGCGGGGACTGGCGAGCCTGTCGCCTGGACGGGCGGCGACAGCTGCCCCAGCCGCGCTCGGAAGTTCGCCTCGTCGAGGGGGCAAGGCAAGGCTCGCGACCGATCAGCTCAGATTGCCGGGCTCGGCGCTGACCGGGAGCTCGAACCACATCTTCAAAGACCTGCCACTCCACCGTCTGAGGAGCCAGAGATCCCCGTGTCCGGGCGGGTAGTGCCATGCCTTCCGAGTGTGCCCAAGACCGGCCTGAGCCCTGGAGCGGCAGATCGGGGTCTTAGCGTGGTCGACACCGCCCACGTGGTTTGAGTCGCAGGACAGCGCTGGTACGATTGCATACGATTGCTACAAGGACCCTTTGACCAAGATGGGCCTCTCCGACCAGATCCAATAAGAGCCCGAGAACGAACCCTACATATTTGGAAACGGAGGCGTGCTCCCCAGAAAGCTGAGGCGAACTGCCCCGATGATTCTCTGCGTCCAAACTGGCAGGATCTGATTCAGCGAGGTAGACAGCCCGTCCGCGGGCTTATTCATTTCATTGGCCGAGACTTCATCCAGCCGTTCAAGGTTGATATTTCTCCATGGAAGGGTACCATCGACATTGTAACCTGGACCCAGAAGCTCGTGACCAGCAGCGCAGGACACGCCGCCATCAAGCTGCAGCCCGAGGGTTGGGTCGAAATTAGGGGCGTTGGTCAAGAGCTAAAAGGGTCCGAAGCCGCCTGCTACCGCGCCGAGACCGACGCCAGCATGCCGACAAACACCACTACCACGACGGGTACGCTGCTACGCTGCATACACGAGCTCCTCTCCAAAGTCGAAGCGCCAGATGTCGACGCCCCACGAAGACTACGACCCCGACGGGTGCCGCAGTCGCGGCTCGTGGGCGCGATCCCATCCGCATTGGCATGCTGCTCGGGCGCTGCTGCGACAATTCCTGGTGCTTCTGCCCAGGTTTCGTCGCCACGCGTTTTGCCGGCAATTCCTGGTGCCTCGGGCCTCGGCCCAGGTTCGGTCGCCATCTGTTTGCTGGACCGTCAGGGCGCGCAGCCCACGACGTGCCTGGCAGAATGGGCGGGTGTGGACGCATGTCGTGCGGCCAGAGTGCCCGCGACTTCTGCCGCCACTTCGGCTTTTGCGCAGGCTGCGGATTCGGGACATCGGTGGCCCCCGTAAGTGAGGAGGCCGGAGCAGGAAGAGGAGGAGGAGGAGGAGGAGGAGGAGGATGAGGAGCAAAACAGGCGGAGGAACCTCAGAGGGGGACGGAACCCCTGCTTGCTGCAAGCAAGCACGTGGCCCTCGTTACCAGCAGGAGCGGGCTCACTATCCACCTGGAGGAGGTGAGCACCACCGAGGGCCATCGACATGGAAACGACCAACAAGGCATCAACGTTCATTGTCAAGCACTGGCCTCAGGACAACTCTGTGGTCGAGTGCGCCGAGGATGTCATCGCGCCCAGGAGCAACATCGACGATGCCTTCGTATTGCAGCCACTGGGTGGCATGATGCCTCAGGACGGGATTGGGGACGTCATTGGCCAATGGCTTCCCTGGCTTCACTGGGCAACGCAGGAACTAATATTCGTCGTCGGAACGGGGCCCCGGCATCGCGCGCGGCGGACGCGTCGCCATCATCGTTGCCATCGCTGCTTCGTTGCGACGACTTCCAGCGCAACGGAGTTGTCCCAATTCCGGGCCCCTCCTTGGGCGGGGCCGACCGTCTGTGGTTTGCGTTCGCGCCTGAGGCGTTTTCGCGCCGGAGGTGCGATAGCGCTAGTTCCGCCCTCGAAGAAGTGCAGTCTAAGATGCCGCTCAGCAGTTCATGTTCGATGTCCGAACTGGGCCCCAGCATCGCGCTCGGCGGGCGCGTCGCCATCATCCGCGCCATCGCTGCCTCGTTGCGACGACTTACTGCGCGTGGTGTTGTCCCGATTTCGGGCCCCTCCTGGGGCGGGGCCGACCGTCTGTGGTTTGCGTTCGCGTTTGAGAGGTTTTCGCGCCGGAGGTGGGATGGCGTTGTCTCGCTTTCGGAGCAGCGAAATCTCAGGCGCCGCTGAGGCACTCAGATCCGCCGAACGGGCCCCAGCCTCGCGCTCAGCGGACGCGTCGCCATCACCATTGCCAGCGCTGCTTCGTTGCGACGACTTACTGCGCACAAGGGTGGCCCTGATTTACGGTCTCCGCCCTGGGTGGGGCCGACCGTCTGTTGTTTGCGTTCGCGCTGGAGACGGTCTCGCGCCGGAGATGCGATGGCGCTGGTCTCGCCTTCGATTTAGTGTAATCTAAGGAACAACTTGTTTTCGAAGTCGGAACGGGCCCCCAGCGTGGCGCTCGATGGGCTGGTCGCCGTCGTCGGCGCCATCGATGTTTTGTGCGACGACTTACTGCGCGTGGGCGGGGCCGACCGTTTGTTGTTTTGGGCTGCGCCTGAGACGTCTTCGCGCCGGATATGCGATGGCGTTGGTTTAAGATGCCGCTGAGGAGCTCGCGTTCGACGTCCGATCCAGGCCTCAGCGTCGCGCTCGGCGGACGCGTCGCCATC